AAATTATGGTCGGATAATGGCGGTTATCGAACTTGTCCGAGGTTTCATGGTAATTAACCTTGTTGTGAAGTTTGAAGTTAATCCGTTAATAATTACTCGAGATATCGAGCGGACATCGCCCGCCCGCCCGACCGCCCGCCCGCTCACGTGATAACATAATTATAATACGTCCCCGTCTTCGACGGGCGTATACAAATGTAATGAATAGAAAATTTAATGGTTTCTTCAGTACTAACAAATCATGCTGCGCACTCATGAAAAATATCAAAATATTAGCCACACTCATGAAATGTATTTGTTATTACTGAAGGTACCATTAAATATCGTCTATTTCTTGCGTTGTGGGACTTTTATGAGAAATAATAAAGATGAAAGTAAACAAAATATCATCAATATCAGTGTTCTGAGTGTAAAATCCTTCTAGATGTATTGTTATACTATTGTTCTTACCAACTGTACTACCTTGTCAATATCCAATATAAAATTAAGGGGAGGTTACTCTATATAAGAGAAAACCACATTGCAGTGAGACAAGGATCATTCAAGCCTAAATACCATATCAACCTTTAAAAGTGCCAAGGTATGGTTTTCAATACAGAAATGACTAATCACAGCAGAAATGAAATGTTATCAGACACTATCAGACCCCCCCCAGGGGTCGCTGCCAATTTTTTTGCATATGAATGAAAAGTAATGAATGGCCCCGCATATAAGGAGATATCAGATTCCTTATAAGAGCAGAGAGTCCATATAAGGACATAGATGTCGCTACTTTTGTTTGTGCAATTCCACGTTAAGCAAACTTCGTAGTATGAGCGATCCCCTAGACACCTACGCCTGGGTAACCTAACGCATGTGTCAAAAACAGTTTCTAATTCATAGGTGAAGTTCTTGGCAGTGGTATGGGGATCATTAACAGTGTTTCAAAAGACCTCGACTATCGTAGAGTTGTGGATTTGAACGTTTTGTGTACATGAAGTCAATCTGCATTGTAGAGGTGTGTCAAGGTGGTTAGCTTACCTGCGGAACTGGTTGAGGACAGTGACGTTGGCATACATAAAGAAAAGATAGTAGTTGTAAGGTGGGTTTTCTTTTTGTGTCCAATCCCCTGGCATTGGAGTGTCCGAATCAAATTTGATGTGTTCTGCTTTCGACTCGTCATCTACAGAGTCAAAACCCGATACCTAAGTGAAGAGGGAAAAACAATTATTTTATATCTGTTTTCGTTTTGTAAAATTATGAAATCATCAAAATTGAAAGAAGAAAATTTATGTGTTTTATATTTAAATCACTAAATGTGTACCATAGAATATGTTCCTCGACATCTGCATTCATAATTACTACCGTATACGATGTCAAAATGAAGGTAAATCCTTGTATAAAAATATCAACATTACAATGATGTGAAATTGTTTCCCCGTCCCCCTTGATCTGCAGTTTTCAGTAAACAAGATTATTGAAGAATATTGATTTTTGTTGATTTTATTGCAAACATGAAAGATTAAGAGCATCTGGTATCAGACAGATTATAGGTGTTGATGTGGAATCTCATCACTCTCTCAAATTTCTAAATCTCTATCTTCTATCTCTCTTAATAATTTAACTCTTTATTTCTCATTTCTTTCTTTCTTACTAATTAGATTAAAATGTGTGTTTTATATGTTAAACAATTATGGTCAGTCAGAGAATATAAATGTTTGTTAAATGTTACCTGAAGGAGAAGGCCTAACATAAGATTTTATATCTTGCCGCCAGATCCTTTCAATTGATGTGATTGTATTGTATTGTAAATGAGTTTAAGTAATAAATATTGTTTAAACCAAGAGCACATGTTTTCTAATCTCTTACTAATATTTCTGCTTGAAAGTACAATTTGTACATGTTCATCTGATTGATATACTAGTAATTATAAGTTCCTGCACATGCCCAGTAGTGTCAATGGTGATATAAACTCCAGGAATACTTACGGATGACAAAACATCATCCATTGATAAACCCTAAATTTATCACGAGACAAATTTCATGAAATGCAAAACTATTCATTCATATCAAAGGCTCATAATTGGTGCAGAAGATGAACTCTGAACCGTTACCATATTTGCCATAATTAGTGCCTCTCCCTCTTTAGGAACCCCTCCCCCTTTTTCAGGATAAATGGAATCATAAAGTGTAGTCACCTGCCCAACAGGTCAGTGATTTATAGTAATCGCACTTTAATGCAGCGATTTATGTCTGATGATATGGCTGGGCTTTTGTGAAGGGAATGAAACATTTAACTTCCAAAACTCCAGTCCAACTGGAATGTTTACAATGTCCTTCAGTGATAACAGTGGCTGCTCAACTTTTGCTATTGACCCCCCCCCCCCCCCCCTCCCTCCCCTTTTAAGCCAATCTTTTTTTTACACACTAATTACGGCGGATAGGGTAAAAAAAGGTATTCTTTTTAATATGAACACCTTGTTGGAATTCTTTTTAGTTTACCACGAGATGAGGACTCTTACGTGTTGGAGGAAGGCAAACAGCTCAGGATGGGAGGCGGGGTCATTTGTCGCTTCAAACAACGGCATGAAGATGTTGTTGAGGATGTCCTGGAAGTTCTGTACTAAGTTGTTACTCTTGTATACATCACTGTCAACATAAACAGGATACTGTCAATATAATGGTCAACACAAACAGGACATTGTAATCATCACTGTCAACATAAACAGGATACTGTCAATATAACTTTCAACACAAACAGGATACTGTCAATATAACTGTCAACACAAACAGGATATTGTCAATATAACTGTCAACACAAACAGGATAATGTCAACATCACTGTGAACACAAGGAGGACACTGTCAACACAAACAGGATACTGCCAACATCACTGTCAACACAAACAGGATAATGTCAACATCACTGTGAACACAAACAGGATATTGTCAACATCACTGTCAACACAAAGAGGTTATTATCAACATCACTGTCAATATAACTGTCAACATAAACAGGATATTGTCAACATCACTGTCAACACAAACAAGACACTGTCAATATAACTGTCAACACAAACAGGACACTGTCAACATCACTTTCAACAGAAAGAGGTTATCATCAACATCACAGTCCACACAAAGGTTATTGTCAACATCACAGTCAACACAAAGAGGTTCTTGTCAATATAACTGTCAACACAAACAGGACACTGTCAATATAACTGTCAACACAAACAGGACACTGTCAACACAAACAGGACACAGTCAATATAACTATTAACCCAACAGGACACTGTCAATATCACTGTCAACACAAACAGGACACTGTCAATATAACTGTCAACACAAACAGGACACTGTCAATATCACTGTCAACACAAAGAGGTTATCATCAACATCACAGTCATCACAAAGAGCTTATCTTCAACATCACAGTCAACACAAAGAGGTTATTGTCAATATACCTGTCATCACAAGGAAGACATTGTCAACATCACTGTCAACACAAACAGGACACTGTCAATATAACTGTCAACACAAACAGGATACTGTCAATATAACTGTCAACACAAACAGGACACTGTCAACATCACTTTCAACAGAAAGAGGTTATCATCAACATCACAGTCAACAAAAACAGGATAATGTCAACATCACTGTGAACACAAGGAGGACACTGTCAACACAAACGGGATATTGTCAACATCACTGTCAACACAAACAAGACACTGTCAATATAACTGTCAACACAAACAGGACACTGTCAACATCACTTTCAACAGAAAGAGGTTATCATCAACATCACAGTCAACACAAAGGATATTGTCAACATCACAGTCAACACAAAGAGGTTATTGTCAATATAACATCACAGTCAACACAAAGAGCTTATCATCAACATCACAGTCAACACAAGGAGGACATTGTAATCATCACTGTCAACACAAAGAGGGTATCATCAACATCACAGTCAACACAAAGAGCTTATCATCAACATCACAGTCAACACAAGGAGGACATTGTAATCATCACTGTCAACACAAAGAGGATATTGTCAACATCACAGTCAACACAAGGAGGACATTGTAATCATCACTGTCAACACAAAGAGGATATTGTCAACATCACAGTCAACACAAAGAGGTTATCATCAACATCACAGTCAACACAAAGGATATTGTCAACATCACAGTCAACACAAACAGGATACTGTCAATAAATCTGTCAACACAAGGAGGATATTGTAATCATCACTGTCAACACAAACAGTCCATTGTAATCATCACTGTCAACACAAACAGGATATTGTCAACATCACTGTCAACAAAAACAAGACACTGTCAATATAACTGTCAACACAAACAGGACACTGTCAACATCACTTTCAACAGAAAGAGGTTATCATCAACATCACAGTCAACACAAACAGGATACTGTCAATAAATCTGTCAACACAAGGAGGATATTGTAATCATCACTGTCAACACAAACAGGCCATTGTAATCATCACTGTCACCACAAACAGGATATTGTCAACATCACTGTCAACACAAACAGGATAATGTCAACATCACTGTGAACACAAGGAGGACACTGTCAACACAAACAGGATATTGACAACATCACTGTCAACACAAAGAGGTTATCATCAACATCTCAGTCAACACAAAGAGCTTATCTTCAACATCACAGTCAACACAAAGAGGTTATTGTCAATATAACTGTCAACACAAACTGGACACTGTCAATATCACTGTCAACACAAAGAGGTTATCATCAACATCTCAGTCAACACAAAGAGCTTATCTTCAACATCACAGTCAACACAAAGAGGTTATTGTCAATATACCTGTCATCACAAGGAAGACATTGTCAACATCACTGTCAACACAAACAGGACACTGTCAATATAACTAGGACATTGTAATCATCACTGTCAACACAAAGAGGATATTGTCAACATCACAGTCAACACAAACAGGATACTGTCAATAAAACTGTCAACACGAGGAGGTTATTGTCAATATAACTGTCATCACAAGGAAGACATTGTCAACATCACTGTCAACACAAACAGGATAATGTCAACATCACAATCAACACAAAGAGGTTATCATCAACATCACAGTCATCACAAAGAGCTTATCTTCAACATCACAGTCAACACAAAGAGGTTATTGTCAATATAACTGTCAACACAAACAGGACACTGTCAACATCACTGTCAACAGAAAGAGGTTATCATCAACATCACAGTCAACACAAAGGTTATTGTCAACATCACAGTCAACACAAAGAGGTTATTGTCAATATAACTGTCAACACAAACAGGACACTGTCAATATCACTGTCAACACAAAGAGGTTATCATCAACATCACAGTCAACACAAAGAGGTTATTGTCAATATACCTGTCATCACAAGGAAGACATTGTCAACATCACTGTCAACACAAACAGGATAATGTCAACATCACAGTCAACACAAAGAGGTTATCATCAACATCACAGTCAACACAAACAGGATACTGTCAATAAAACTGTCAACACAAGGAGGTTATCAATATAACTGTCAACACGAACAGGATACCATTGTCAACATTACTGTCAACACAAACAGGATATCGTCAATATAATTGTCAACACAAACAGGATACTGTCAACACAAACAGGATACTGTCAACACAAACAGGACACTGTCAACACAAACAGGACACAGTCAATATAACTATTAACCCAACAGGACACTGTCAATATCACTGTCAACACAAACAGGACACTGTCAATATAACTGTCAACACGAACAGGATACTGTCAATATAACTGTCAACACAAACAGGATACTGTCAATATACCTGTCAACACAAACAGGATATTGTCAACATCACTGTAAACACAAACAGGACACTGTCAATATCACTGTCAACACAAACAGGACACTGTCAATATAACGGTCAACACAAACAGGATATTGTCAACATCACTGTAAACACAAACAGGACACTGTCAATATCACTGTCAACACAAACAGGACACTGTCAATATAACAGTCAACACAAACAGGATACTGTCAATATAACTGTCAACACAAACAGGATACTGTCAATATACCTGTCAACACAAACAGGATATTGTCAACATCACTGCCAACACAAGGAAGGCACTGTCAACACAAACAGGACACTGTCAATATAACGGTCAACACAAACAGGATATTGTCAACATCACTGTCAACAAAAACAAGACACTGTCAATATAACTGTCAACACAAACAGGATATTGTCAACATCACTGCCAACACAAGGAAGGCACTGTCAACACAAACAGGACACTGTCAATATAACTGACAACACAAACAGGATACTGTCAATATAACTGTCAACACAAACAGGATATTGTAATCATCACTGTCAACACAAACAGGCCATTGTAATCATCACTGTCAACACAAACAGGATATTGTCAACATCGCTGTCAACACAAACAGGATATTGTCAACATCACTGTCAACACAAGGAAGGCACTGTCAACACAAACAGGACACTGTCAATATAACTGTCAACACAAAAAGGATATTGTCAATATAACTGTCAACACAAACAGGCTATTGTCAATATAACTGTCAACACAAACAGGAAATTGTCAACATCACTGTCAACACAAACAAGACACTGTCAATATAACTGTCAACAAAAAAAGGATATTGTAATCATCACTGTCAACAAAACCAGGCCATTGTAATCATCACTGTCAACACAAACAGGATAATGTCAACATCACAGTCAACACAAAGAGCTTATCATCAACATCCCAGTCAACACAAGGAGGACATTGTAATCATCACTGTCAACACAAACAGGATATTGTCAACATCGCTGTCAACACAAACAGGATATTGTCAACATCAATGTCAACACAAAGAGGTTATTGTCAATATAACTGTCAACACAAACAGGATATTGTCAATATAACTGTCAACACAAACAGGACACTGTCAACACAAACTGGATATTGTCAACATCACTGTCAACATAAACAGGATATTGTCAACATCACTGTCAACACAAACAGGATAATGTCATCATCATTGTCCTCTCAAACAATATTGTCAACACAAATAGGAATCCCAAGATATTGTGAGCCCAGTTGGCCAAACAATAATCTCAAATTGCCTTCTTTCATTTACCTTACAACAAACCCGTCTAAAATTACTCATTCATTTTACAGATCATGAAGTGACAGTGTTGAAAGGTGTGTTATCTGACATCTTTTATTTTTGACAGATACTGTATGTTGTGGGGTACTCACTACAATCGCGGGACCTGGATGAGCCACCTGACATTGTCCGAGTACACCTTGTGTTCTACAGCCCACTTAGCTAGCTTATCCCACTCATCTCTGGAGCGCCCATATATGGACAGTCTGTACTCGGCATTCTGGTACTTGCTTTCCTCAAGGTCCTCCATTACTTCCTGTTAATACAAGGTCAACAATCAAAAGCTGAAGGTAAAAATAATCATATACTTCACATCAATGGCTATATCAAATGGTGATGGTAAAAATGAAACGTAAATAGAAGATTAATGGTAAAATATAAGTACATGATCAATAGTAAATAATTAACACGATATATTAGATCCAAGGTCAAAAGCTGATGACCTCTGTTCTGATAAACATCATTCAATTTCCGCTGATTATGTTGTAATAATGATAAAGGTTCTATCCTGTCCATATCATAGTTGGGTAATTGTGGTGTAAGGGTGGTCTAGAGGCGCAGTGGATTAAATATGCACTTTTCTCTTACCCTGGACAGGTGTATACGCACTTTTACCGGTGTGAGATTTCCTTGTCTCACCCTAGGGTTGAGACGGGGGGATTCCCCTATTCATAACAATGGTATGACGTCACTTCAACAATACAATGACGTCACGTCAACAATCCATCAACGTCACTTCAACCCTGAATTTAGCATGCAAAATTATCATTCCATTGTGTCTATGATACACATTGGGAGAACAGGGTAAGAGAAAAAGAATCATTCACCCCTTTGTGGGTAAGATAGACGAATCTTAACCCTCGGGGAAAGATTCTTAAGGTGCCAAACACTCGGCAAAGCCTCGTGTTGGGCAACATAAGAATCTTCCCCCTCGGGTTGAGATCCCCCTATCTCACCCCCAAGGGGGTGAAAGATTCTATTAGTCTTTCACCAAGACAGCCGGGGTTCCATTCCCCAATCAGACATCAAAAGGTTTAGGGTTAACTACCTGACCACATGGGTTTTATCCGAGCACTCTAGTAATTACCTCCCACATGACGACCCCCCACATGCTAACATCCGGGCAAACAACAGTGATTAATATAAGTTGAAAGAACTTGTTTCATAATTGTTGTTAAATAAATAAAGTTAATACTTGTAACACTTTATATATTGTTTAACTTACCTTAATGACATGAGCGAAGTATTTGCCATTAATATAGTTGTCTGTCTTGATAAAAATTTCCCGCAGGCGGCTCTGTCCAATTGGATTGTACTTGGCGTTGAATTTGTCAAACCTGTGGAAAGTGTTCCGGTCCTAGAGGGTGAATCAAAACAGAAACTGTTTGGCTCTACATGAACAAAAGTCTATCAAAGGTTTGAATAGAGAGAAAAGGGATAATCTCTATTCCATCTTTGCGTATTGCAGAGTTATCTTTTCTTGTGAGCAGGGACTGATTGGTACGTCATTTGTTTGTGAGAGTAACGTCATCAATTTTTGAGAAAACGATGTAATTTTTTCACACAAACCAATGACGTAACAACCAATACCTGCTCACAAGAGAAGATAACTCTGCAATACGAAAAGACAGAATTAGCAGTACCCAGTAGTTGAAGTAAGTAACTGTTCAAGTATGACTTTGATAAATAATCTATTTCTTCAATCCTTCGAAATATTATATATTTATTCATTTTATTTATTTCAAGTACATATACAAGTGTGGTTATAATAATTTGTGATATATTTTGTATTCTTCATTTATCTAAATTCATGTTGAAATATTAATTTTTAAATTCACCTTGTATAATTTTAAATAGTAAATTTTAATCTTTAATTTTTGTGTGTGTTTTGAATCAACAAATATAAGATAATGGGTGACCATATGTTATAAGCTGCTAAATTTACTGATATTAATATCTGAAAAAAAAGAGATAAATTACAATAACAGATCTATGAAGCAAATAGCTGTGTGTAGTATTTTGTGAAAGCTCTAAGCATTGGTCACACAGGTCGTCAAAATATTCTGTGTTACCTGTTGTATGACTGTTTCATGGTGCATGTATATATGTATATGGAGTGTAGCATAGGTAGCAGTGTACAGTAGCGTACGGTGGCCATTGGTGATATTTTTGTACAATGAATAACCCCTGTAATATAACATGTATCAAAATTTAAAAAAAAATCAGCACTAAAATTGGCATATATACATGATGAAGTGGACTATGTGGGCTTCACATTAAAAAAAAAATCGATTTTGGTTTTTTGGCCATTTATACATCTGTCTACACAACAAAAGCTAGCTTTTCATGTAGTCTACTTTTGTACTTTTGTATTCAGTTTAAGCCAGGTTTTAAGAAAAAAAATACTACTTGCATATGTCAAATTTTGGGTTAAAAATCATGTTTTTTTGGCATTGTTTGATGTGGTAACCATGGTTTTCACAAGTCCCAAATCTGGGGAAATCACTTTTTGAAGAAAAAAATAATTCTATTAAAAAAAAACTATTCAAAATTTAGTTTATAAGTATATATATATATATATATATGAAGGTGTGTTGTGCAGGGTTAATCCACTATCCATGTTTATCTGAGACATGTCCTTTATTCTTAGGATCAAGCCATTTCTACTGTACTCTGCTACCATACTGGTGTGTTTTTTTTAAATGTTTTAAACATACATGCAGGTCACAATAAAGAAAGCACATAATCTTACAAACTTTCCTTCAGTAACAAAACGACTCAAAGGAGAAAACAACATTTTTTTAAAAACAAAATACAAGGACCTTGCAAATTATTAAGGGAAATGGATTTAACCTAAATATAGATATGAGCGAATTATGTGTTCTTACACAGCTGTCATTTTAAATAACTTAGTTATTTTACTCTCAGAAACTGCCTTCTCCTGCGATAAACTTGAATCTGTTAGCTGAAAATCTCCCCCACTAAATGTATAATTGCCTCTGTTTATTACTTGGAATGATTATCTCCCCTGAATATTAAAAACGATTATGATTATCTCGCCCTGTTGCTCACTGTAATTGTTTCCCTCTTACTTTAGATATCACTGTATCCCTTATATTCTCTAGAAAAGACTTTATATCTTTCTTACTGTAGAAGATTATCTCCCCTCATTAATCCAAATTATTGTCTCCCTTTAAATACAGCTTAACCTTCCAGAAATGGCTGAAATACGTTTCATTCAGTTATAAGCTATCAAACAAAAACATCAAATGCTTCAACTTTAATTTTCTGTTCTGATTTCTAGTCATACTTATTTCACCGTAATTTACTCAAGATCTGGTTATCTCCCCTGATCACTATTTGTGATTACCCCTCTTACTACATTTTGACCAAGTTATCTCCCCTAATCACTTGCTGTAGTTATCTACCCTGATTACAGACCCATTGTACTCACTGCATGCACATCCAGTTTGTCTACACTCAAATCATATGGCTCCAGTTCAAGGCTCTCAAAAACCTGAAATTGTCAAATTTTGATTTGCAGATATAAAAAATGTCTGATAGAGTTATCTCCCCTCAATACGAGGCTCAAAATTTCATCTTGTGTGTCTGCAAACGGCAACACAGTTATAATCCAGCAACTGCAGGAAAAAAAATACTTTTATATAATCATGATTAATATGATATGAATAGATATGTTAACTCATTCACCCTTCCATTTTTCAAATGGACTTGTCCAGTCATTGATTTGGTAAGGTTAAATGTGGCTTTAGGGGTGAATGGGTTAAATGAATTCAGAAGCTTAGATGGGAGTGTTGGCAAGTTGTATTAGTGCAACCCAAACCTCATGTGCACAATGGTGTCTGAAACCCCACCTATACCATGCCCCTGTAAAATGAAATGAAAATAGAAAAGAATTAATCAAAATGGATAAAATATACTGGATACTCTACTCATAGCTATAAGGAGAAATGATGTTTTATTAAAATTGCTCATTTATATAAGTTTTTAGATTGACTCCTGGTCCCAGTACCTGTTTAGAATGTTTCACATTTTCACGTTATAGTCATGATTGATTAATCATAATCAGAGGTAAAATGACTGATCATCGGTTAAATTGATTAATTGGAACAACACTAATAAAAGCAAAGTTTCTCACTGCTTTAACTCAATCTATCTAATACACTACAATCGAAGAAACGAAATGCTGGTAAATAGTTTTTCAAAAACATTACCATGATTTTGATTTTCAATGATTTATAAAACGATGGAGAATATCAAATGTTCACCCTCGTGATCGACTATAAATCAACAGAATTCTCTTCATTGCTTAAACTAGAGTATTGTAAACTAGTGCTACAATTTGTAACATTCAGGTACTGCATTTTAATAATATAGAATTTTCACATATCGTTTTCCCAAACCCCAACCCCAACCCTATCCCTCTATAAAAAAGGGAAAAGTTTGGAAAGTATTTGGCATAGAAATCAAAATGATTGTTTTTTTCATGAATTTAGAGAGAACAGAAATGATAACTAGAAACTTGTTTTCGTGAACAAAAACATGTCTCCCATTATTAGCCAATAGACAAACTTCGGTATAGAAAATTAACAAAGGGCCATATCTCTTTATATGGTGAGGCACAAAACCCGAATTTAGAATGCGACACTCCTACCTCCCAAGATACATAACTATAGCAAGTTTGGTCAATGTAGGTGAAATAACATGTAAGTTTTGCCGTGGACAAAATTTCGGAATTGAAAATAAACAAAGGCCCATAACTCTATATACAGAGGGGCACAAGACCCGATTTCAGTGCGAAAGATTCCGCCTTCCCAAGATACATAAATATGGTAAGTTTGATCAACACAGGTGAAATAACATGGAACTTATGCTCCTGACAAACTTCTGTGTTAAAAATTACCAAGGGCAATAACTCTGTATATAGTGGGGCACGATACCTAATTCTAATGCACTGCACATCTTTTGTGGGTGATCCAGGTTTACTTCAAGTTTGATCAAGATATCTTTAAAGGTTAAAAATGTACAGGCCGGAAAAGAATTTACTGAAAATGTTGCACTTTTTTGACCTTTGACCTTGAGGTGAAGGTCATATTGACCTAATTCCAGGGCACTGCAGACCTTCTGTGATGGATGCATGCATACCTCAAGTTTCATCAAGATATCTTTAGCGGTTGAAAAGTTATGTGCCGGCAAGTTGTGATTAGAAGAACCAGAAGAAGAAGAACCAGTACTAATGCAAGTAATAACAACATACACATGCATTACACAAACAGACATATACAGTGGAACCTCATTCAGAAAATCAGAAATTTAAATCTAAAAATAATTTTCAAAGCACTTTCTTAGGACTAGTACAAAAATGCACATATCTGAACCGAAAGTTTACCCAAATTAATGTTAGCATATGTCGAAGGCAATTGTGAAAACTGGTTGACATCTGTCAAAAAATAGCTCTCAATATATAATAACGGTTTCTTAAGTTTAGCAAATTTTCCAAAGATGTTTGGCAAGCTTTTAGTTGTGTAAAATGAATTTTTGAAGCTAAAAATGAAAAGATTCTGCTAAAATAAAATTACCTCCCTTTACAGAGTTCCCGAAATAGAATGAGCTGTCCATTCGTTAATTAACAAGAAATATTACTTATTCCTTTTAAAGTTCAAGAGAAAATAAGAGGTTCCACTGTGATACCATGGCCAGTCCCCAGTGTAGTAGCCTATATCAACTCTGTATGTTACTGTATTCATTGAATTCAATACAGGTCAATAAGCATTACCTGGTAGTTCTACTGCAATCTGTGGCCAAGGTTAATGGTTTTAAATTCAAATTCATTTCATATTATTTTCTTCATTAAAAACAGTTTTAGCAGAGTAGTTGTATTGTCAACGAATACAATAAAAATAATTATGAAAGATTTTTTTATTTTTTTATTTTTAAATAATTCATTCCCTTTTTGGATATTTTTCCTATATCAATACCGAGTTCATCAGGCTTTCTAAACAGTTAATTCATTAAAAATTGAGACATTGAACATGTACACAACAGAAATAAAAAGATCAAACATTCTGTAGCTGCCCCTGTACTCGTAGCACTTACTGCATGGACGTCCAACTTGTCAACACTTAAATCATAGGTGGTCAACTTCAAACTATCACACACCTGTGAATAAATGCTAAGTGATCATCAAAATATTTAAAAATATATATTTTTAACTGAAATGCTTTTTTTTGATTGGTAAAAACAAACATTTTTCTGGAAATTTATATCTTAAAATAAACTGAATTTACCTGTAAATTATACAAATTCCATTTTGAAATGATGGACATAATATATCCACATTTCTTCTTTAATTACGGATTTAAGCAAAATTACCTATAAACTAAAAAAAAAGAATTTGATTTTAAAATCGTAATAAACAAAATTTATCTTGTAAATTATCAACATGATTCACCTGTCAACTTAACTCTGAATTCATACATTTATTAAATATAATTAAACAAAACTTTATTCTTCAGTAAAAATGATAAAATCATACCTACATTCATTTTCCAATGACAATTATTTTTCTGTATGATAATTATTCATTTTTTCTGACAATTAGACAAACACAACATTATAAGTCAGCATCAAAAGTTCATATTTACAAACTAATTTCATAAAAAATGAGAAACAATTTCTGTGAAAATCTGAATGAACATGTTAAAAAAATCAATGACGTGTCATACCTGAAAAAAAATGAGAATATTTTTCAAAACTACATTTTAAAATAGAAAATATTTTACAAGGAACACAACAGCAGCTTCTTCCATTGTAAAAGTTTTTTTAACATCCATCTCCAGCTGAAAATGGAATAAACATTTAACAATCTGGTTCAGGTATTTTGCAAATAAAAAATATATTTTGAAAGTTACACCAAAAAGAAAAATGATTTTTTAAAATAAACAATATTTGAAAGCATTAAAAAAAATCAACTTTGAACATAAACTGATCAGCTCAAAGAAACTTTCGGAGAAACAACAAGGATAATAAATGTATGTTAATATCACAAGTCAATTGCAGTTTATTCTGAACTTTTCTTTTAACAAAATCCCCAGAACAACCTAATTTGTATTCCTGCTTTATGAACCAATGTATTAATTTATCAAGCTGTAGTAGATTTATGATTTAACATTTTTTTACCAACCTGTTTCAAAGTCATTTCTTTTTTGTCCTTGTCCAAACAGACGACATCGTCAGAACGTGTGCGGATCATTTTCTTGATGAATCGCAGCAGATGTTTCTGGTTCATGCATGATGAAGCATGTACGTGAGTGTCCACCTGAAACATGGAGTTGTGGGGTTCAGCATTCTTGCTAAATAAGGGACATAAGATAGGGTTATACCCTTGTAAATTTCATTTCAATATCATATAAGGGGAGGTAATCGAGGGTTTTCTATCAAATTTGAAAAGTTCTGCAATATACTGCAATATACTGCAATAGCAAGTAATGCTCTACAGAGCTACATTTATGTTTCTCAGATGCAGAGTTATTCCCCTTAATTTGAGATGGGGCCTTTTTGTCTCATTTTGACAAAAAAATATATACACATGCACCAATAGGGAAGAAAATTTTCAGGAGTACACTGCAAAAATTGGCAATAAGGCATAAATATGACAAATAGTTTCAATTGTGAAAGGGCCCTTTATGGTCCTCAAAAAGTCTCCAGAGAACACACTGAGATTGGTTGTAGTGCCACATCATGCAGCTTTCAGTGTCTCTCAACTCCTCAATAGTTTAAAGACTCTTACCCCATTGCCAACAAAACCCTACAGAATTTGACTGCAGTGTTACTTACATACATACAGTAATTGTGTAATCACCCCATATCTTTGTTTAAGACATAACTGTAGCATGATCAGACCAGAAAGCTTAGCTGTTCAGAGAGGTTCCAATCCCAGTCTTGCCCCTTTGCCCTTTTTTCGCTCAGAATACTGTTGTTAATCATTTTATATTCATTTAATGTATTGTACTTTTTAATAAATGTTCCGCAAACTATGATTTTCTTTTCAGAAACGATGTATCAAACCTACATTTGTGAAGAACATTATTAATGTTCCAGTGAATACTAACCAGATTTTGACAGCTGTATGCTCCTGTGCTCGTCCTTCTCTTCTCACAACTCTACTATAGTAGCCAGAGTGGTAGCTGTATGCTCCCGTGCTTGTCCTTCTCTTCTCACAACTTTACTATTTATAACCAGACTTTGACAGCTGTATGCTCCTGTGCTCGTCCTTCTCTTCTCACAACACTACAATACTAACCAGAGTGGTAGCCGTATGCTCCTGTGCTTGCCCTTCTCTTCTCACAACTCTACTATAAATAACCAGACTTTGACAGCTGTATGCTCCTGTGCTCGTCCTTCCCCTCTCACAACTCTACTATACGAACCAGAGTGGTAGCTGTATGCTCCTGTGCTTGTCCTTCTCTTCTCACAACTCTACTATATATAACCAGACTTTGACAGCTGCCTTACTTTTTAAAAAATATTTCTGTTGGGAGCTAAATCTTTCCCTGTCTTACATTATATTTATACCTGTGGGGAACCTCGTTTAATTGTCTTACCTTACGTATGTTATAGAAATCCCTGTGGGGAACCTCTTTTTGTGAAGCTGATTCTTTCAGTTCATTAAGCAGTAAGTGTAGCTGATACTTTGAAGAAAGGTAAGACAAGCGTCTGTAGGCAAACGATTTCCTGTAAAACATAAATCACATTTATCATGAAAACGCAGTTAAAACAATGTTCACGTTTAACTGTTAAGGCAAGGTCATTAGAGATGTTCATATTTTAATTTAAAAAAGAAACTTTATTTAATTTACAACAATAATGAAACAAGTTTTAAAATAACTTAATATATTAATCCCTCTTGTTGGCTGGAAAGGCAGCGTGCAGGGGATCTTAATGAATAAAGACATCCAAGGATTACCTTGGTCAGGCTGTGACCGAAAACATTTGCTCATCCAACTGGGATATCGAACCAGGCCGTCTTGGTGAACGGTTTAGTTGATCACCATCCTCACCCTTATAATACTTTAACATTGTCTTTTCAAAAGTGCTATCAGAGTTTTGTTAACAAAACCTGTTTTTGATAGTTTATCATATAAGAAGACATGCATTGATAAATTCATTTAAATTATATTATGGTTGCCACTGCAGGGTCTGTATTCATAAATTCTCATGCTCAAACTCAGATTCTATGCTCGAGCCAACTTTCTCTTCCAGTTTTATAAATAACACTAAATATTTGGTCTATGATTTTGAAGATTTTTGAGAGACTTCAAGTCTGATACCGTGTCATATGATTAACACCCAACTTTTATATTGCCACATGATTTAAGCGAGTAAGTTGGGTTGAGCACAGAATCCATGCATAAGAACGATTTCATGAATACAGGCCCTGGTGTCTGAATAAAATGTTCATCTCATTTTGAAAAAGGAGCAAATTGCTTTGAAAATTCAACAACAAACAGTACAGAATATCAAGAATTTTTTGCCGTTCGCTGTTAACTCCATTTTAGCACAATGTTAAATTTGCCCTTCACATTGAATTATTACGTATATCAATTTATTTTTGCCGTCATAATAATTTCCACTAATAAGGGATGGCCAATAAGGCAAAATGAAACTGAAGCGAAAATTTCCCGGTATAAAGTATACATTTTGTATATAGATAACTGCATCTACTCACAAAGGTCCGTCACTGATGAAGGCGTACATCATATTTAGGTCGGCTAGGAAAGTTTTTACATCGGGATACGGCCACTCCAGTGGCTCCTGTCTATCAAACGCCTCCTGGTCTTTATAAACGTACGGCACCCCGCCCTTCATCTTTATGACGCAGCCCACGTTCTCCGGCATCTCCGCAATATGGAAAGGGTCGCCAGACATAGGTGGCGGGTTGATAGGGTGATCAGCAGCTGGAAGGATTTCATAATTTATAAGACATCCCGGATTACTGTGTTGACACTCTATAGCATTTGCTTTTACTCCATAGATTTTGTTGGAGAGCCCCCATAATTTATAAGACATCCCAGATTACTGTGTAGACACTCTATAGCATTTGCTTTTACTCCATAGATTTTGTTGGAGAGCCCCCATAATTTATAAGACATCCCGGATTACTGTGTAGACACTCTATAGCATTTGCTTTTACTTCATAGATTTTGTTGGAGAGCCCCCTTCATTTTTCATGTTTTGTATTCCGTCTTTGCGTATTGCAGAGTTATCTTCTCTTGGGAGAAGGTATTGATTGTTACGTCATTGGTTTGTGTGAGAAAATTACGTTGTTTTCACACAAATTGATGACGTTACTCTCACAAACAAATGACGTAACAATCAATACCTACTCACAAGAGCAGATAATTCTGCAATACGAAAAGACGGAATAAGACATCCCTGATTCACAATTACAACGTACCATATGTGACGCATTAAGCATCAGTTTGTAATAACTAAGTGACGGAGACTTATTGGAACCTTACACGAAGGTATGAATTAAAATACATCAAATACTAAACTTCGCCATGTCAGGTAAGTCCACTTTATGTTATTATTTTATGGATTTCAGTTTTGTAAAACCGTGACATGTTTAATGATACAGGTGTAATATGATAATATTGCACCTTTTTCACACAAAAAAAGGGAACGGAAGGGGAAGGGCAATGCAGGCACCTTGATACAACAAATGGAGTAAAGTCGGTTTTTCAAAAGAGTTTAAAAAGTACTTAAATTGGAGTAAGACATTGAACTTATAGCACTATATACAGGGGAACTTTCGCTCTTCACTTAGTACAATACACTACACATTCCTATGATGTTAATTTTGTCTTTAACATGTTAAGTTGTGTATTAACTTTGGCTGTCATGATAAATTTGCCCTCATCAGAGAAGGCAAAAAAAGGTGAAAGCTAAAACTGCAGTAAAATTTAAATGGTGTCTATGTATCCAGAATGTAGGAAGCAGACAGCAAGTGAATTCCATTTAATGTATAAAGTACACCCTAACTGGATATTTAATTGGAATATTAAAGTAACTTATATATAGGAAACAATATTTATTAGAGTAAATGTTCTGAAACAAAACAACATGCCATCACAGTATTGAGTGAAACACTATCATATTTATCATATTGGTAACAAAACAATGTTGATAATTTTGACAAAATGAGAGTAGAATACATATCAAGAGCAATATACATTAAAATGAGCATAAATGCTTCACTTAAAAATGAAAACATTTACCAAGCAAGCAAAAACTCTGGATACAAGAACACCACTTCAAGCCACAAACCTGTTTACACAGACCTGACTATGTAACACCAGTCCATCAATTTTTTTTTGAAATAGATGCCTAACAGGACAGCTATGCAGACTGTAGTAAATTTGTATTCTATATTAATAAAAGTATTAAAAATCATGAAGTAAAATATTGTTAATTTAAAAACTGTGAATAAATTTTCCAGTTTACCAGGGCAATAATCTGCTATATTTGTGAGTAGAAGCTTAAATCTTCCATAACTTTATCATATGATATATGAGGACTAGATTTTAGTAATATTTAAAATATACGTCTAGAAACAATCTGGCTTAAATCTCAAATGCACACACACAAAAATGGACATGGGAGTAGATGCAGGGGAGATAACTGTTTCAAGAAAGGGGAACAACTCTGTTTAAAATATTCACAAATGGAGTTAATTCTGTTTCATGTTTTGTTTAAGGGTTTTATGTAAAAATGACATGTAAAAGGAGACATATTGAAAGCATAGCAAATGTGTTTTAGTGTTCAGCAGGTCTTTTGTTTTTTTCAATGGCAAGTGGAAGGAATGGGTTGACAGGAGACAAAATAGCTAGCAAGCATGTTCCTCCTTTCACACAGTTAGTATTAAACGAACCCAACAGGTGTAATACGAGGTACGAGAAACGATAACATCTGTATTTTTGTACAGGTAATTATGTTCTTCTAGATAATTTCACAACAGTTCCATTTAAAATCAAGTTTAAAGTGAATCCGACACCATTCAATAATTATTGGAAACCTTATCTTAGACTCAATAACATCATGAAAATGGTCTTTGATATCTAATTAATAAAGTAATAACAGATTTACTCTTTTCAAATTTTTTAATGAAATAATTTCATTTTATGTTTGAATTATCACGAAACTGAGTTTGACTTATTGTTATAAAAAGAAACAAACAATCCAATGTTTTGTAAGCATCCTTAGTGTCCCTACTACTGGTCAAATGTGGTATGGAAAATGAAGGCAGGGGCCATAACTCTGCATATAGTATCATGGAGACCTTTTTCAGTATGTGACTCTGCCATCCCCCTAGAGGCAAAGTACCGCTCCGAAAATTTAACAACCTAAACTTGTCCATACTGTTGGATTTACTTCTTTGCCCCATTTAATATTTTAAGTTATTCGTATCCTACGGACATACCTCCATTAGGATCCAGTGTTATATGGGATTTTACCGTCTATATTACTTCTTTGACCCATATATATATATATAAAAATGTGATATTATGATAAAATAATTTGTCTTGTTCTCAACTGTTACGTAATGCATCTGATGTAAGAAATATTAGACAGATTATGTACCTCTTTTAATACATGAAAAACTATATCCAACAAAATATGGAAAAATGTGTAGAGGTTATTTCATCAGTGAAACTATAATTCAAACTTTAGCAAAGTCTATTTATAAAGCAAATTGAATAAAAAAAAAAAGTTCTTTGCTAACGATGATGTAACATTTCTTTTTTTTATCTAAATGCTGTTCTTATCCTGTGAAGTATTAGATATAAAACGATTATATTATATAATGTTATAACAATTTAAAGTTGATTATCGGCACACAGTGATAGTAATTAAACCAGTGATATTTCGACTAGAGTCTATAACAAACCTGGATATGCAAAAGGAGGACTACTTAATTTACCTACCTGTGGTGGATTCTGTATGAAGGTCAAAATAGTGGTGAATATTACATGTTTAAGTTAATTTTGTAAAGGGAGGTAATCTGATTATCTCCTTTTTAATAGAAATTTAAATAATAAACTATTGATTGACGTGTAAATTTATTCAGATGGGCAATTTCAACTATTTCAACCTTTCATTGATCAGAAAGCCCGACTCAACCTATTTCTTATATCAAAAAGACATATATTTTTTTACCAATAACCTCAAATTTATACCTTTTCAATATGATTCATATCAAAATTTACTGTTTGTATTTACATAGCCTACATAAATATTCCACCTCTAAAAAAGCAATCAATTCAACCAATGCAAATATTGATCTTGATGAATTTACATGGCATCACCCAGTAATTTAAATGCTGTTATGAAATGATATGAATCACACTGGGGTAAAAAACACAAAGATTTAAAATCTCGTTTCCTACCAGTACATGGCCACGACACAAAGTTGGCCGTGTTCTCGTCTACAACAAAACATGGTCACAGAAAAGCTTGCAACAACATCTCAATGTCATCCAGCCAAAATAAGAATAAGCACAGACAAAAAATACTACGTTCTTATGAGAGTTATAGAAAGAAAAAAAATGTATTTTTTTAAACCAAATACGGTAATAAGTTTCAAATTCAAATGTTCATTTTAAATGCAAGAAAGAGAGAAAACTATGAATTAAAATTTCATAATTCTTAGAATCAAAGACATAAAAAAAAAGATGGAAAAATTCATCAAATTTTGAATTATTTCTTAAATTTTATCAACTGATGAAAATTTATTTTGTTAATTTTCTGTTCTTCATTTTTTATTTGAATTTCTTTGTACAAGCATACCTTCTGCAGTTTTCACATTTATGCAGCCAAACCCTTCCTTGATGCCGTGAAAGTCCTCCTTGTCCTCGAGGTTCTGTAGAAACCTGGCCGTGATGTTAGGGAAGCTCTGATGAGACATGGCCATATACTTCTCACGGATCATCAACGCCTTCACCAAACTCTTAGATGCCTCCTCCAGGTCCTTCAGTGGAACCTGTAACAATACCAGAATTTAATACAGTAACCACAATTTTTCTTTTAAAATAGAAAAAAAAATCAAAAATGAAAACATGTTGTAGTATGATTAAGATTATAATACAATTTGGCTTATCTTTCTGAATCTATTTATGAATGGTTTAATTAAAAAGGAAAATTTAGAATAACTCATAAAGTAGGGTTTTTTTCTCTCCAGAATATCATGTAGTCATGCAGTATAATGGAGAAAATATCAAAATTTGGCTGCATTATAATTTTTGAATCTATCTATAAATGTTTTAATATAGAAATGATTATTTAGAAAAAATCATATATGAAATTTTTACTCTATATCTATAATGTTTCTTTAGTCCATAAACATACAGTAAACTACCCCACATTATGATGCTGATCCTCTGTAAGTCTGGGTTCTACAGATGAAGGAAAAACCTTAAGATTGGCATATAGAAGGACGGACACTCGGAAACCCCACTGGTGCTAGTCCTGTGGAGGTTGACTAAGACAAGTAGACAAATAATATTCTCCACTTATTTTGATTGTCTGCAAGTCTTGGACAGACAGAAAGGAAATCTTTTCTACTATACTGATCCTAAGGATATCTGAGACAGGCAGACAGAAAAAAACACCCACTGATGTTGGTTCTCCGGAGGTCTAAGACAAACAGATTTTCTTTTTCACTGACTTTGATTGTCTGGAAGTCATAGAAACAGACAGACAATATTCCTTACAATACTGATCCTATAGATAGCTGGGACAGACAGACAGAATGACGGATGGACAGAAATCCAAGAAAAGCAGACAGAAAAGCAGACAGAAAACCTTTCACAACTGGTGTCCTTTGAATTAGCCATATGCAGACTGCAGATGGACAGATGAGTAGACGGATGACCAGACAGAAGGACAGACACCTACCCCACTAGTGTCCTCCCCACTGATGCTGATCCTCTGGAAATCTGGGGCAAGGTCATATTCCTCCTGAACCTCGGGAAACTCCATGAACACATTTTCGACATCAAAGCTTGGAATACGGTTCACTGGGGTGTGTCCTCCATTGTCACGCTCATGGACCCTGGCAGAACCACTGAAAAATGTATCGTGTATAATGTTTATTTCCTGTATATACCAAACGCAATTCTTCTAAAACTCTTCCTTGTTGCCCAATTTTCTTTTCCCAAAAAGATTATATGCTTGATAAAATGATAAAGTTTATATGCTTGATAAAATGATAAAGATTATATGCTTGATAAAAAAAACAAAATATAAAAATTATGAATATTATTTGTGTACTAGCTATAGCTGTATAAACATTTGATAAACAATTGCAAGAGTATGATTTTTTTATTTTTTTAAAAGACATATTAGGATCATAAAAATTCATCAAAGGTCTCAAAATACTGCAAATAATAGAATTACACACCAGAATCTTCCTTGTGATAAGCTATGCGTGGTAACAAAATATTGGCATTTTCCCTAGAATTCCATATTTTTGTACCACTGTTTTAAAGAGGATTTGAAGCTACGGAAATGATACGCAATAATCAGCTTTATAATGTATTACAAACACAAAAATTTAGTCACATATACCGGTAAGTATCATCACTTATCCTCTGGCAAAATATATCACAAAGAATTATAATTATTCCTCACATAACTATGATTAGAATGTATCAATGATAAATTCAGATCTGCTTATAAACTCGCAGGCCCAGAAAAAAAGTTCCAATCATTCTGGTGATTCAAGTTTGTAGTGAAATACCGTATTTAACCAAACAAATACCCAACTCTTGGGGCCCTGATATTCTTTCAAGTCTTAAATTTCCAGTAAAAGTATAAACTGCTGATGGTATTAACGTGTAGTGATCTGAAACAGGTTCGTGATATACTTTCCAATGTACCAATTAATGAAAGAAAATTTTGAACATGTCCCCATGACAACTTATAACATAACTTCTAAGTACATACAAGAAATAGGCCTATATACATGTATAATAGAATTAATTAAGCATTTACACTACTTGTACAATTTAATATTCAACCAGTTTTAACGTTTTTGTTATTTTTGGTTTGCTTAAAAGTCTTTTAAGTTTCTTTTTGACATTTTAGACTCCAAGTGATCTTCTTGTATCGAGAGGCAGTGGGGTAGAGCCTGAACAAACATACAAACTGATTTACTTGAAAAAACATCCATTTTTCGTAATTGGCTAATTTTCATACCATAAAAACCCATGTAATTTGCGCACTTTTTTCCAGAAATTTAATTCCCAAAGTGGGGGCTGCGTAAAATACACAGGTAAAAAAAAATTCAAGTTTTTTTCAGGAAAAGATCAACGATTCTGGGAGATCGCCATCTTGGATTATCTCCCTTGGTACACGGAACTCTAAGAAAAATGACGTTCAACAAATTTATTTATGTCAAACATTATTAAAAGATACATAATGTGTTGTTATCTGTGTTTATGTGAAAAGTATCATTAAATAGGTAACCGTTAACAAAGAAAGTTTATTTTCAGCCTCAAAAAGTACCTGCGCAAATTTCACAGGTGCGCAAATTACATAGGGTTTTACGGTAAGTGTGGAAAGTCTACAATCTTCCAAATTTTTCAAAATTAGGGCACTTATTTGTCAGATAGGGTAATTATATATGATTCTGTAAATTGGAAACAAATTGTTTTTAATAAAATTGGCACTCAGCGTTCCAGTTAATCATAGTTAATCATTCTACGAATGAAAGCCCGTGAATTCTGCCACCAATGATCTGATTGTCCCATTATATACTGTATACCGGGGAGATTTTTGTCACAGCCATTTTTTCGCTCTCCCTATTAATTATTCTGTCTATTATGGCAAAAGCATTCTATGCACACTACTGTAAGAGGAGTTGTTTTTGTGGGCACAAATTTCAGCGTATTATTGTATTTTAACCAATTGACACTTAAATTATATATTTTTGCACTCACAAAAAATGTGGTAGAAAACTTAATGTATAGAAACGTCAATTAACGCAATCATAAATTTACTAAGCACCGTATTTAAGGCACAAAAAGACGCTTAAATTAGAAAACTGCTAAAATTTGTACATTTAAAGAAATTGCACGTTAAAGACAAAATTAATGCTCCAGAGTGAACACTGATTACCATAAAGAGAGAAAGTTTGAATGGGCCGAAGGTTTCCGGTATACAGTAATGAGTAGGTGGCTTAGCTTATTCTCGTCGTTCTAACGTAGTTCGCCACATTTTTTATCACCCATGCATTTTCCACAATTTCCAACATGCAGAATGCCCCGTACAACATTGACACAACATCTCATGACCATCACAGACTTAACTACATCAAGATACTGGTAAAAATACATACATACATACAAACGGGTACATGCATGTATCATGTAGCAACAATGGCTGATTCTAAAAAAATATTAATGACAAATGTCTTCATGCACCAACATTTGATTGTTATATCTGATTAAACCCTGCCCTCCCCCCCCACCACCCTCTTCCCAACCAATATTTTTTTTTTATCACCAAACCCTAATAGCAAATTCAAAGATGCATTTCAATCCTATACTGACACATCAGGATCAGACTAGATTGAATTAAAGTATGTTACAAATGTCAAATTATTACCTCATACAAAGATGTAAATGAATCTTTTTTAGTATATAAACAGCAAAAATATGGTACATACCCCTGGCCAAATATAAGTCCTTCAATTTCCTTCATTTCTGTCCAACGAAATCACCAACAAAATCTCTCTTTTTCTCGACCAATTTAAACACATTTATATGTATAACCTACTACAGTTACAAAATGTTTTGCATTTAAAACCAACATTTATTGGGGATTCTCCGAAAACCCTAGAAGTTACAAAAATATTATCCAAGAATGTGCTGCTGACGTATATATAATGTGCATGTAATATGAAGTTTTTCAGGGTCATTTCAAATTTTTACTCTGTTTAATAAAAATGTCCATCATCCTAAAATTTACATCTGATCTAGATCTACTGATGGACCAATAGTGGTTTACATAAAATATTTAATTCTCAAAGGAAATTGCGTACACATTTTTATGCAGAAGTAAGAACAAGACAACGTTGATAGTGATAATCCATTATTAATGGTGGAACTTCAAGTTATAATGTAAACCAATAACGATGCGATCCCAAGATTTTTGATATCCTGTATATACATCCCATGCTACTAGAAAGATGACTTAGATTGTATTATCCGTTGTGTTGTCTTGCTTATCAATATGGATGTGATGCATACATTTTCTTGATTTCTACCGAGAAATCATAGTTCAATTGTACGGTAAATATTATTCACTTGGTTTAGTCATTTTTCACTTGAAACAAACCTTCCGAGACACAGAGTGCGTAGAATTAGACACTCAGCTTGTTTACAGATGAATTTAACTCATTTATCCCTGAAATTTTAAATAGACTATTCCAACCTTTGAATTGGAGGAGTTCATAAATGAGATCAGGTGTGAATGAGTTGTTTTGGTTTATTACAGTTGTTAATTAGTATTCAGCTATTTCACGGCAATTGAAAAATACAATTTTCCTTTACAGGAGATGAATAGTCTAAACCGAAGCAAAGAAGATTGAAATCCAATAATTTGAAATATAAAATCTTTGATTTTGATTGAGAATTTACAATCTATTAATTAATACTGTATTTTATAAAACAGTATTTCATTTCCTCTGCAGGTATATTATCTAAAGGTCCCACAATATATAAAAATTTGCAATAATAATCACTAATAATTTTTCACATAAAAGTTTTGATTCAGAGTGATCGTGACTCGTGCATATTTACTGTAATGGTAATTGACAACCTCTGCAGTCCCTGCCTTCTAGTTAATTAATTATTGATGGAAATATAGATGAAATTTATCTACGCGCTGCTCAGGTTGAGCTGTGAGACCAGCAGGTACAGAGCATGCATGACCTTCTCATGTATCACGACTCCCGTTATATGTAACAGCATTGATCGCCTGGCACGAGGGCAGGTTTTCATTAATGCTATCGGAAATATTAACACGGATTCATTATAACATATAATTTTAGCGCAATTGTTACAATTTATGAAACAAGTTTCCTAAAATTGATCACTTGACAACAAATTTGAGATATTATATATATATAATTACCTAGCTTTCACAAAATATCGAAATTTTAGTTCAAGGCTAAAATGGCTGTGAATTTAGTAAACAGTGTTAAATAGAAATATTCTCAAACCTTCAAAATTAATTCAAACGAAGAAATTAAGTTACAATATTTAATACTACAGATGTATATTTACATTGTTAGTCTGATGAGGTTTGAAACACAAGGTGGTCCATCAAAAGATGTCCCAAATTGTCTGAACTAGATCCATTTATTGTGAAATTTTGTCTAATTCTTTGTACTTATTTTAATTTTATAAAGGAACATTTGGATTTGTTCTCCAAATTATAGTATCTGTTGTATAAATATAAAACATGAATTGCAATGACATATTTTTTTTAACCCTTTTACCACTGTAGACCATAATGGACTCATCCAGATCAACGCTTGGGAGAGTCTACTAAAGTAACGTGGGTGAAAGGGTTAAAGGTGAAAAATTAAGATATTGAAACAAGTTTAGCAATAAGTTTTTTATTTATAAACTTAACATGTCATTTTAATATTAAGCAGATTTTTTTTCAGTATTTGGATACTTTACAAAAAATTGTCAAGGGCAAATACGGTAGTTACACCTGAGTCTATAATGAGCTATATTGTTAGATCAATATATTGTAACCCTGATGTTACTGATTCATCAGAATCATCCACAGACGGATATAACGTGTCAGAAAATGCAATTAAGCACTTCTAACATTGCTGAATCTCTTTATTTTCACAGAAGAAATTTAAAAGCACACTACAATGCAAGGGGGGNATGAACAATCAACACTGTTAGAAATAACAGTAAAATTGTGATTTTAATACAGGAATCAAATATACTTCACAAACTCCCTCCCAGCAATGTTTATTTCCATAATTTCATTTTTTTATGAATTTAAAAAAGTTCAGAACAGTTTAAATATTTGATTTGAGACTTGAATGTTTTTAATGAACATGAAGTAGAACATCTATTTTTAAGCAGAGTTAACCCCTTCAATCCACCCCTACATATTCAAACTGGACTTGCCCATTCTTTGATTTGGTAAGGTTCAAATGTGACTTCAGGGGTGAATGCGTTGAGGAGACTTCCTTACCAATGACCATGAGAGATCTAAGAAGTTCTGCTGATCACAATACGACTCTTTGGTTGTAAACATGATCACGACATTAGGAAGGAACACCCTACCAAAGAAAGCACATGTACAGCCATATTTGGTTTCAATAATAAAAACATTAAAGTCTGTTTTGAACATTTGATATGGAGGCAAGGTAGTCCAGTGGTAGGACGCCGGGCTCATGACCGAAGGGTTGCGGGTTCTAGCCACGGCACGGCAATGTGTTGTATCTTTGAGCAAGATACTTTACTTTGAGCAAGATACTTTACTTCGCTTGTTCCAGTCTACTTAATTAGCTGTAAATGAGTATGTGGTTGGGCAGTGCTAGAATTGTTGAATGCTAGCTGTTATCGCCGAAATGGCAGCTCCGGCTGTATGCTACCCAGGGAGTTGAGAAAGGTATTGGCTGGTTGCAAAGGCCCTATAACCACGGATAATGATTTGTGAACCGCTTTGAGACGATCTACGACGAGGTTGTGATAAAGCGGTATATAAGAACCTCAAATTATTATTATTATTATAATTATATATCAACGTGTCTGATGAACTTGATAAAAACAAATTGATACATACCAGTATCTTCTGTTATAAGACGTTTCCATTTGAAATCTAACTTCATGACCTGTATTTTAGGAGAAATACACTATACAAATATCAACAACCTACATATTTAGGTAGAGTACCCTGTAAGGGTCTTAACTATTTTGTACACTTAACAGTGAGGTAAGGCAGACGTTAAAGAAAAGTCCATGCTCCGATGAACAGACATCAATTTGCATTCCTAGAAATAGATAAAAAGGATCTAATCTTTAAAAAGTACACTGATAGTGTATAAAACTGTCTGCATGATATAGCTATGTTTAGCTACATATTGACATAAAGACTTTTTAAACTGATATTTTATCTATTATTTATATCAGACCTTACATGAATGGTATGTCACTGAAAAAAGTTTAAATTGTTTGACAATTTTCTGTAAAAACAGAATAGTGCATGGTCTTGACCTTTGCACCCTGAATTACGAATATTTTTAAGTATTCTCATTCGCGACCTTTGTATAATGTATCAAGCTTGAAAACAAAATTCATTAAGAAATTAAGTTGTTCCAATCATGTTGACCACATGTTGAAATTTGGCAGAAATGGTAACTTTGACCTTGACCTTAGAATCTGAAATTCTAAATACCGGGTAATCTGTTTTTTTTTGTGTACTTCACCTTTGTATAAAATATTGACGAAAAAATCTGTCAAGAAATGAAGTTGCTGGAGTGTGACACTGAATGCAGATGGGACATACATGGGTATCAGTATATCTCCCCCCTCCCGCTGTTATGCCCACATGGTGGAGGACATAATTACAAGCTTGTACGAGTCAGCAGATAACATTCAGTAAGGCTCGATCAGAAACCAAACTGGTGACGTTATAACTGAAATAAACAATCTTGACCTCCCGAGATAAAGCAAAACCAGTCCAATTTTTAAACTGACATTCAACATGCAATTCAAATCGCACATGCATAAAAAATACAATTATAATAATTAGACGAATTGGATGACAAAATATTCATGCTTTCCCCATCATAACCAAATGGTAGTTGACATATATCTGGCTAACTCATAAGCAACATTTACAAATGTGACAAAGCATAGCATTTTGCAACTTAATATTAAAAATATTCAAAAATAGAGACAGAAAAAAAAATACTGTATGCATAATAACAATTTTATGCAAACAATTGAAGTTTCAGATCAAATTTTCAAACATTTTTTTTTTACATAAAGTACAACAATAAATAAATAAAACTTGTTTTGTTTATTAATTTTACTTAAATAAAATAATTTTATTGAGAAAAAAAATCATATTTGAATAACTGCTGTTTGTAAGTGAGCCAGATTTTCTTAGAGACTAGCCCACAAGATTGTATTAAAGCATTCTTAGATAAAAAAAAAGAAATCAGACAAAAATAAAAAAAAAATAAAGTATTAAAATAAAGATTGATAAATATTTAAATGGAATTAATTAAATACAAAAATAATCAGAAACTTGTGTATTACACCTGATTTATTTTTAATCGTCAAGAGTTTCAACATTTGAAATATTTCGAAATTTAAATCACATTAATTAAATTAAAATGGTAAACATTTTGTAAATGACATAAACAATGTTTTTTTACAGATTAAAAAAAAATCCATACATAAGTATTCAAATGATTTTTTTAATAAATTTTAAAAATGATTTTTTACCTGTGGCAAACCATCATGGTGATATAATACTAGAGACACTAATTAAGGCCGAACATTTACCTGTGTTTCTGGTAACATTTATAAAAAGCAGTGAAAAAATAAAAAATATATCAGCAAATTTAGATACGTAAAAATTTGAAATAAAACAATTTTCTTCTCTGCAGCTTTTCCCTTTGTCTTTTTTACCTTGGTTAACAGCCGAATAAATGCTGCTTCTCCAAGCCAAAAAAAGTACTTTATATTTTACCAAAATGAAGAAAATATTCCAAATTTCAATAAAGATGATAATTTATTTACCAAAAGCATGTAAAAATAGCCAGTTGTAAAATTTAGGTAAAAAAACCCACCTAAAAGTCTATAAATGTATGCTATTTTTCATAGTTGTTACATGAAATACAGGTATATTTTGTCTGATTGGGTGACCAGGTACATAGGGATTATATATACGTGAAGTGTGACTGTGACTCACTTTTTACCATCTTCATTCTCATTAATTATCTGATGATCGGATGCAAAACATCTGTAAGGCCAAGGGAGGTAATGCATTAACATTTCACATCCAAGGGACATAATCCATTAATTGCATCCAAGGGATGCTATCTAGCAATAATAGACATCCAAAGGAAGACAATCCACTATTATCACATATATCCAATAAATACTGCATGTCCAAGGGAAAAAGTCAATTAGTAATATATTCCATCTTTGCGTATTGTAGAGTTATCTTCTCTTGAGAGCAGCTATTGATTGTTACGTCATTTGTTTGTGAGAGTGACGTCATCATTTTTTGAGAAAACGACGTAATTTTCTCACACAAACCAATGACGTAACAATCAATACCTGCTCTCAGGAGAAGATAACTCTGCAATACGCAAAGACGGAATATCACATTCAAAGGAGACAATCCAGTAAACCTGCAAATTAAAACTATATTAATAATTAATACTAGAAATCAAAAGGTGATCCATTAGTTTCTGTGTAATATCCAATCGATGTTGATACATCAGGTAAGATACAATACAGGAATCACACATCCCATAGTATAAACATGCCAAGATGACAACACATTTTATGCTCCACATCCAAGGGAGACAATTTGTTTTAAAATTAGTTTCAGCATTCAGGGGAGATAACCTGTGATTACATAAGAGCAGAGCAAATGTCTATAATAGTATGCAGCATTGTCATACATCTTGTAACAAGAGGCCCATAGGGCCTGTATCGCTCACCTGGATATCTAAGCAATCATGGCAGAATATTCTCCAAATGAGATCCATGGGAATATGCCAGACCCCAAGGCCAATCCTTGTAGCATATATATCTGTATTCAATTTTTCATGCCCAGCAATTTTATGTATGGTTATGGGGTGAGGATCTCAACTGTTTCCACTCTGTGACTCAGAAACTAGGTCCCTACGGTTGTGGCCAGACCCCAGGATCAATTCTAATATCATGACTGCATTTGTCTCTTTATGCCCAACAATTGTATATATAGTTTTGGGGTGGGGATCTTAACCATTTCGAAGTTATGGCCCAGGGGTTAAGTCTCCAAGGGTGGGGCCAGACCCTAGGGCCATCCTGGAAGCAAATGTGCATTCTTCTCTTTATAATCAGAAATTGTTTATGTGGTTATATGGTGGGGATCTCAACTATTTCCAGGCAATACACTTTTTTTGGCCCCACCCCTTAGCCTGGGGGGTCAGCACCACCATTTGTACAATTTTGAATCCCTGCATCCCATGAATGCTTTTGATTTAATATGATTGATATCCAGTGCATAGTTCTACAGAAGTCGTTTGTAGAAATATAGCCAAATTGCCCCATTTTGGCCCCGCCCTCAGCCCTCTTGGGGTCAGCCCCACCATTTGTACAATTTTGAATCCCCACCACCTAGGGATGCTTCCAGTCTTATATGGTTGATATCCATCACTTAGTTCCAGAGAAGAAGTCACTTGAAGCAATATTTAAGCCAAATAACCCTTTTTGGTCCCGCCCCTCAGCCCCCTGGGGAGTCAGCCCCACAATTTGTACAATTTTGAATCCCTTCATCCCATGAATGCTTTTGATTAAATATGATCGATATCCAGTGCATAGTTCTACAGAAGTCGTTTGTAGAAATATAGCCAAATTACTCCTTTTTGGCCCCGCCTCTCAGCCCCCTGGGGGTCAGCCCAACCATTTGTACAATTTTGAATCTCCACCACCTAGGGATGCTTCCAGTCTAATATGGTTGATATCCATCACTTGGTTCCAGAGAAGAAGTCGCTTAAAGCAGTTTAGCCAAATTGCCCCCTTTTGGCCCCGCCCCTCAGCCCCCTGGGGGGTCAGCCCCACCATTTGTACAATTTTGAATCCCCACCACTTAGGGATGCTTCCAGTCAAATTTAGTTAAATTCCAATCAATGGTTAAGAAGAAGAAGTCGTTTAAAGAAATTGTTGATGGACGGACGACGGACGGACGGACGACACGGTATGGCATAAGCTCACCTTGGTCCTTTGGACCAGGTGAGCTAATAATGTGAAATTTGGTTATAAATGGTGACATTCACTGTTAGTAGGATACATACAGTGTACATATAGTCAAGTTTATAATTATCTGGCCCAATTTCTCAACAACAACAGAAGTAGATACATTGTAAATCGAAACATTAGCTTTGTCTGTAAGTTGTTCATATTGATACATAACACTAATTTGATTAAAGTTTTAAGCATATTCTAAAATCATTTTTTTGTCATTATTGAAAAAAAGATATTAACAATAATATAAAAAAAAGAGGCCCATGGGCCTTAACGGTCACCTGATATATTTATACAGAGAGTTGATTTCGTTTTTAACATGAACAGAAATATTATTCAAAGTGACAAAAAACAATAAAACCACCTTATTCAATATCAAGCATACAGATTTCAGACTAAAAAGGATTTGAAACTAGCACCTATGATTCTAAACAAGGAAAATGAAGAAATTTTAGCACACTGACTCCCTTGAGCCCCACCCTACAGCCCTTGGGGGTAGGGCTGGCTCAAAATTTTCAAAGTATCAAACTGTCAACTCAAGGTTATAATTCCAATCAAGTTATTAACATGTAATATTCAAAGTATCATTTGCCATTATAAACCATAATAAATTCCCCCCCCCCCCCACTCCTTCCCCAGGGGGTAAACGTGAGACCCTAGGGTCATAACCCTTAAGACCCTTCCATCTATGAAGAGTATTTGATTCTACCATATCTGTGTCTTGAGAAGAAGATTTTTGAAATTTTAGTCATATTCGACCCTTTTTGGCCCCGCCCCTCAGGCCCCTGGGGGCGTAGGACTAAACCGGCAACTATTTTTGTTGACCTTTGTCCATGGAAGGTTCCTGCAAAGTTTCATTGCAATTGGTTCAGGGGTTTTGGAGAAGAAGATTTTTGAAATTTTAGTCAATTTGATCCCTTTTGGCCCTGCCCCTCAGGCCCCTGGGGGCGTAGGACTAAACCGGCAACTATTTTTGTTGACCTTTGTCCATGGAAGGTTCCTGCAAAGTTTCATTGCAATTGGTTCAGGGGTTTTGGAGAAGAAGATTTTTGAAATTTTAGTCAATTTGATCCCTTTTGGCCCTGCCCCTCAGGCCCCTGGGGGCGTAGGACTAAACGGCAACTATTTTTGTTGACCTTTGTCCATGGAAGGTTCCTGCAAAGTTTCATTGCAATTGGTTCAGGGGTTTTGGAGAAGAAGATTTTTGAAATTTTAGTCAATTTGATCCCTTTTGGCCCTGCCCCTCAGGCCCCTGGGGGCGTAGGACTAAACCGGCAACTATTTTTGTTGACCTTTGTCCATGGAAGGTTCCTGCAAAATTTCATTGCAATTGGTTCAGGGGTTTTGGAGAAGAAGATTTTTGAAATTTTAGTCAATTTGATCCCTTTTGGCCCACGCCCCTCAGGCCCCTGGGGGCGTAGGACTAAACCGGCAACTATTTTTGTTGACCTTTGTCCATGGACGGTCCCTGCAAAATTTCATTGAAATTGGTTCAGGGGTTTTGGAGAAGAAGTCGAAAATGTAAATTGTTTACGGACGCACGACGGATAGGTCACTTGAGACTTTGTCTCAGGTGACCTAATAAAATGCACAATCAAGAAAAACAAACAATTGCAAAACTTAAGCTTTCATTCGATGCAAAGTCACATTCAAACATTATACAAACTATTTGCAAAAAATGAAAAGTTTATTAATTACAAATAACAGATAAAATATATTTAATAGAATTGTTTTTTCAAGGAAACATAAGAATGAACTTAATGTTTTTTTGAAAAAATTGGGGCAAAGACATAAGTGTCTATCTCTAAACTAACAATGCAAGATGATAAATTTGGCTTACCTATCAACTCTATAATATTTGAAAATGTGTGATAAGTGAAAACATCAATATAATATAAAATATATATCAATATATGAGACTGATAAGGGAGTTTTACACATATAGGGGTCAATGAGGCCTGTAATTGGTACTTATTAACACATACAGTATAGTCAGTATCAATGAGGCTCATTAGGTGTACTTATCAAACACACATATTTAAGCAACAATGAGGCCCATTAGGGATACTTATAAAACACACATATTTAAGCACCAAGAGCCCATTAGGGGTACTTATACAACACACATCAGCATCAATGATGCTCAATAGAGGTTCTTATAAAACATAATGATCAAGGCTCAATAGGGGTATGCTTATCAAACATATACATCAGCATCAATGAGGCCCATAAGGGGTACTTATAAAACACACATCAGCATCAATGAGGCTCAATAGAGGTTCTTATAAAACATAATGATCAAGGCTCAATAGGGGTATACTTATCAAACATATACATCAGCATCAATGAGGCTCAATTGGGGTACATATAAAACATACACATCAGCTTCAATGAGACTGAATCGGGGTATTTATCAAACACCAACTTTTAAACACGAATGAGACTCAGTGACAAAGGTATTCATATGTGACATACACATCAACGAGGCCTATGAGGGGTACATTGTATTTTATATGTGACATATATATGCATAAACATAAGGAAATCAACTGCATTTTGTTTGGACTTACATTGTCTCTATTTCTCCAAACGTATCATATTTAAAAAGTCAAGGTATAGTTTTGAATACAGATATAGCTTGCAGGTGCCTAAAAACTTAAGCAAGGTAAAACCTGCAAACCTTTAACATGAAAGTAGACCTGTATTATAATGCCACATACAGAAACCATGTATTACTTAACTTGCCACAGTCCATCAGGATGGCACTTATAATATATAAACATTATATTGAAATGCAATGAAATTAGTTCTTCGATTGTACTATTTCTTTATGTAATAAACTAGCATGTACTTATCCATTTTAATGCATTTTTAACGCATTACAGCATAGCAAGCATGCATGTCAATACTGTTTAAGGATTTCTGTAACACTATCTATATATATCAAAAAACTAACTATATATATAAGAAACATTTTTGCAGCATTTGGCCAAATAAGTAAAA